TGTGCTGCTATGGCTCCGTTGATGTGGGCATTGTTGGTGTCTTCGAACTGTGAAATTTCGGGATCTGGCGCACTGTTAATATTTATACTTGGTAAATTTGACTATCCTTTCAAACACAATCTTCAAGTGCTATCAGTGGCCGACAGCAACGAATAGAGTTTATGTCTGTATTTTTGCCTATGAACTCAGAATTGTATGAGACTTTCGATGTGAGATGCAAAATATGATAAATCCACCTGTGTAATCGAAACTCTCTGGAAACGAATATCCTTCAAAATATTACCGAAAAACATACTAAACTTAGGCTGATTTTGACCTTGTCATCATATAACCTGTAACAGCGATTTTGAGTATTAGATTCGAAAGGTTTAGTTTATCAAGGACTCACAGTACCTTCCACTTTCCATTCACTGCCAAGACTAAACATACCAGTAGTTTCATGGATGTTGCGCCATTGCAGTGGTTACATGTATTCATAGCAATGGTTTCAAAGCTATGGCTTCGTGGCAGCACTTTCATTTATTCATTCACTCACCACTCGATGGATACTACAGCAAAGGATTGCATGACATTCGTCAAGATGGCACGGCCGCGTACTCTCACTCGCGAGGAGCGCCTTGACATCTTGCGCTTACTGGCGTTCTACAAAAGCCAAGGGGATAAGACAGGTGCCAAACATGTTTAAGAGGCACTCGGGAGGAACATTGCTGTTGTGCGTGGTGTGTGGAACGAGTACTGCAACTATGGAACAGTCACCCAGGCTCAACCTGCTGCCAACAGGTCAACTCACCCATCACGGGTCCCACGCACAACTGAAAACGTTGCACTAGTCCAGAAGTTCGTACGTGATCGCCGTGCCACGCGCACACGAACGACAGCTGTCGATGTGATGACCTATTTGAACGAGATGGAAGTCATGGAATGCGTCTTGGTGTAGCTGGAATCCTCCGGTGCCGCCGCCGCCGACTACACAGGGTGCTAGTAGCTCATCGCCTCCGAGCATCTCTCAGATAGCGGAACAAGATTAATGCTCGGTCACTACTCGAAGAACAAGTAGATTGTCCGTGGTACATTATGTATGTAACACGTGATCCAGCCTATTTCATCTCTACCGTGTCGTTGCCACCGGATGCATTTGATAGTCTGCACGTCTTGTTTTCCGGTGAGTACGAACAACCCAGTAGACGTGGCAAAGGTGGTAGACCTCCGCGTGTTGTCCATGCGCATGCTGTTCTGGCGTTGGTGCTGCACTTCTATACAGCCGCTGTCGAGCAGAAGACACTGCATGAGCTGTTTGCGCTGACACCAAGCACGAGCACCCGTACTCTGCGGAAAGAAGAAGAAACCTTGGCCCGTACCCTGGTAGCTTGCCCAGATGCTGCGATCAAGTGGCCGTCGAAGGCCATGCAGGCAAGATGGGTGGCCATGAGCAATTTGCGGTAGCCGCTTGTCCACGGGGTGTTTGCATTCGTCGATGGAAAGAACGTACGCGTGCAGGAAACATCGCCAACCGATCTGCAGAGCGCAATATACAACGGTAGCTGATGCTGTGTGCTTCAATATCTAACGATGGTCTAGGATGGTTACACAGCGTATTCGTCACCGGTGTCCTCTGCTTCGGGCTCGACGGCACATTGCTGTGGGGGAGACACAACTACCCCGGCTCATGGAACTATGGTGATAGTGACTGGGGGTGATGTGTCGTAGTTTCTGCTAGCTTTCCACCATGTAGGGCCTGGAGACCCCACACAATAGAAAGTGGTAGACTTCCACGAGCCTTGGTGGGGTTATGGGTGGTGCAGAGGCCCTTCGTCCGGATACAGTGGTTGGTGAGGAGTGAGCAGTGAGGTGCCTATCCGGATGTGCACGGAGCAAATTTAGTAGTCCGCCGTTAGTCTAATGGTTAGGATTTCTCCTTCCATGGAGAACGTCAGTGTTCAATTCCCCGACGGCACAATTCTATGATGTTGTCCGTTAAGTTTTCGAAGCCGTCGACGGTATACTGAACGGCATGGCCTGAATTGACGAGTGACTATATCACAATATACCCTATTTAGTGTGATAGCATTTACCCAGCTCCTTCTCATCCAATATCACCACGTTTAGATGTAAGAATAGGCAAAAGTGTTACGAACTGGTCAATTTAGCCGAGCGGAGGTGCAGCGGCAATCTCGTTCTCCTCGTTTAGAAAGGATGACATTGAGTCGCGGCCGACACAGCCGTTCCTCCTCCCGAGGGTACCTATCTCCGCAGTCGTCTCAAAATTTGTCGCCTTAAAACATGTTTTCTTCGGTGTACATTTTATACTACACATCTTGAATGTATGTAATAAAATGAATTAAAGAAACAAATTCAATGTTCTAAAAATGCGCACGCCCTTTCGGGCCCCATGCTAATCCTTCACCCCTCACACTGAAAGTGCTACTTGCAACAGTCACCAGATTTTCCATTGCACCACGATTAAATCGCGGAGGTACCCTCAGACTGAAAGTGTATGCAAAACAAGGGTATCAGTCATTGCAACTGTCCCCGAGTTCGATCCCAGCTACATATTACATATTAGTTTATTAATACCAGCTAATGAGTTGCCCCGAAACCAATTAGATTTCTAGTACGTAGTACATATTTTGGAAATTTGGACGTGTCACGGAAATCCGACATGGTATTTATCAGTCCACTGCCATTCGCGAAGGTGATGTGTTTTTTCCAAGATTATTTGTGATATTCAATACTGCTTTCCATTTTCCCAAACATCGATACTCTCACGAAACATCATGCATTTTGGTTTTGCAGTCTATTGAAACTATGTACAGTGAGGGACTTTGGAAATCACTCTGTCAATTTAGAAATAACAGCAACAAAATTAGACAGATGGAATGAAATTCCTTGGACCCGAGAGTACTAGTAGATAAACCCCCAAAACAATAACTCTGCCAAAAAGAATAACAAAACATTGAATGAACTGTCAAGACATATACAACGAAACCATTAAAATGCTACGCAATAATTGTATTGACCGTGACCATTAAAAAGCTGCGCAATATTGCATTAACCGTGAAAACGGACAAAAATCGTTGCATCACACGTCTCGAAATACATCGATTTTCGTCCATTTTCACAGTTAATGCAATATTGCGCAGCTTTTTAATGTTCACGGTCAATATAATTATTGCGCAGCATTTTAATGGTTTCGTTGTATATGTCTTGACAGTTCATGCATCCCACGTCAGGCACGACATTAGGGTCTCGAAATACATGGAGTTCAACGTTATAGCAACAACAACACATAATACTGTAGGGTTGCATTACGGTATGTAGCTCCGTAGCTCCACTGTACTAGTACGCATTTGGAGCGTGAGATTACTACTGTACTCCAGCACATAGAAAACACTGCAAACTCTTTAACAGTGCGTCTTGTTCGTCGTAGGAGCGTAGTCGACGTTGAACGTGTGTTCGGCACGGGTGACACCCTTGGAGTCGACGCGGATGGTGGGAGTGGTAAAGTTGACTTTAACCGTCCACTGCTTGGCGGCACCAGACACGGTGGACACGTCAATGCTGAACTGGTCGCGGAATGTCGTGACTTCGTTACCGTTGTTGAACCACTGGACCGAGTACCGCTCGTTGAGGATGGGATTTGGGCGGAGTTGGCCCAGCGGGATGAGCTTGAGCGCGACGTCCTTACCAGTCACAACGACGTCTTCGATAAGGAAATGCGCGTCAGGAACTGCAGCCACATGTTTTCCTGGCACGGCGCGCAAAACTGGGGCGACGTCATGTTGCGCATGAGGCACTTTTCGTTGTCGGGGCGGTACGAGAGGCGCTTCTTGATGTCCCACGTGGGGTAGAACCCGATGTGGTCGTTGTCGTCGAGCTTGAACTCGTCTTCACCGGCGTATTCATAGATCACGGCGTTACATAGCTGCTTGATGATCGGGCTGTCGAACGACCCGCCCGCGGTGATGTTGAGCACGTGGTCGCCGGCAGAGAACCCCGCGTCCGAGCTGCGCCACGAGTAAAACGAGCGGTCCTTGACGCCCTTGGTGGTCCACGGCAGCGGCTCGCCGTTCAACGTGATCGAAAGCGCATCGTTCGTGTCGGCGCCGGACACGGACAGCTGGATGTACCATCGCTTGAACGCGACGTTCGACTTGAACTTGATCTGGTACGAGCCTTTCTGGAGATCGTACCAGATGTGCTTTTGGAACCGCTGGACGGCCTTCTCCTCGCGGATCACATCAGGGTTAGTCAACCAATGCGTCCACGGTGCCGCATTGATCGACGTGGCCGAGTTGGCGCCGGTGTACACATATCCCCCGTCGTACTCTTCGCCAACTTTGCCAAAGTTGTGGCCCATCTCGTGGCGCAGCACCACCATGCCCGACGTGACCGAGCTCGTCGCGATTACGAACTCCCCCCCGAGGCCCCCATAGAACGCATCGTTCCCGATCAACGACGGAAAGTCGCACGCGAACTCCCCCACCGTTTTGCACACGTCGCGGGCGTATTGCTGCTTGTTGGGGTACACGGCGCGCAGCTCGGTGCCGTCGCGAAACAGTTCAAAGGCAGTGTTGCGAGGTTTGCCGCCCACGCCAATACCCGATTCCACCGACGGCACGTGTACCGCCCATACGTTAAAGAGAGGGAGGTACTGGGTGAACGTGTCCCCGGTAAACATTTCGTCGGTCAGTCGTTGCATGTCATTGAAGAACAACGCCGCTTCCGACGCCTGATGAACACAATGTCAATGCGGTTCTTGGGGGGGCTCGAGTCGACGATCTTCTTGATCACGGTGGTCTCGGCAATGGACTCGAGAGAGCGCACTGCTTTGTGGCGCAGTGCGCCGGACGGGCACCGCTTGGCGAGCTGGCCCAGAACAGCGTCGACGCTGCCCCCGATGATTTCCACGAACTCTTGGGCGCCTTCCTCCGAGTTCCGGAGCAGGTCCAAGTCGTTGAGGTGGCTTTTGCGCTTCGTCGTGAGCTCGATGAACGAGTCTGGGTGCTCCACGCTGCGGTGGAGCTGGGCCACGTGCACGGAATCGATGAGTTCGCATTCGAACGTGTTGGTGTCCACGAGAATTTTGGCCGAGTACGTGTCGAAGGCGGCGGCGGTAGCGCCAACCAGCAAGAGGGAGCGGAAGATCTTCATGTGTCTCGAAGCTCGAGGGTTTGAAAATGGCAAGGGTGCCGGCACCCTGGGGCAGGTCAAGAATCCGAGGGGA